ATGGCAGCTTGAGCTGACTAACACATACACACAAATGTAAATGCATATAAATACATGGGAACATATTAGACACACTCTTCTGCCACCTGCTGCCCCCACCCTAAGTATCTAAGGGCTATCTCCATACCAGCACACCTCCCTCATTCTGTTGAGTAGCCGTGTAGTATTCCATTGTGTGAACATCCCGTAAGTGATTTTACTAGTGTCCTGTATTTAGGTTGTTTCCAGGCTTTCGCCACTACAAATAGTGACTGTCTTCATACATGTGTCTTGACCCACATGGGGTGTGTGTGTGTGGGGGGGGGGGGTATCTGTAGGACAAATATTTAGAAGCGGAATCCTATCAATATTTAAATATGCCATAATATCTCTTTTATTTTTAAAAAATTCCCTCAGTAACTTCCCTCCCCATCCCAGCTCCTACATCTGCTCTCTCCTCCCTTTGCTCTATTTTCCCTGCCTAGAGCCCTGCCTCCCCCTTCCCTCCACGTGCACCCCTCAGTTTTCATTGGCAAGTTAGAATGACTCCATGCCTAAACATTCAATGGACACTTTATGAGACCCCCAGCAGAATTTGACAGCTGACCCCTCTTCTGTTAAAATTTTTTTCTTCTTTTTATTGCTTTTAGAGGGAGAGGAAGGGAGAGGCAGAGAGAGATGCAAACATTGATGGTAGAGAACATCGATTGGCCGCCACCTGCATGCCCCTCGCTGAAGATTTGGCCCACAACCTGGGCATGTGCCCTGATTGGGAATTGAACCGGGGACCTCCTGGTGCATGGGTCGACACTCAACCACTGAGCCACACCAGCTGGGCTCCTCTTCCTTTCAATAACCTCTTCCCTTGGCATCCATTCTATAAGTCTTCTGTTTTGTTTTTGTTTTTTCTTCTTGACTTTTTTTTCTAATTTTTAATTTTTAAAAATTTTATTTTCCTTTCTATTTTATTTTATTTTATTTTTTTATCCTCACCTGAGGACATTTTTCCATTTTTTTGTTTAGATATAGTGGAAGGGAGAGAGAGGAAGAGAGAGAGAGAGAAACATCGACATGAAAGGGACACATCGAGTGGCCGCCACCCACACAACCCAACCAGGGCCGGGGACAAACTGCAACCAAAGTACATGCCCTTAGCGGGAACCGAACCCAGGTCTCTCAGGACCGCAGGCCAATGCTGTAATCGCTGAGCCAAACCGGCCAGGGCTGATTTTTAATTTTTAGAGAGAGCGAAAGGGAGAGGGAGAAATAGATGGAAACATCAGTGAGAGAGAAACATTTATTGCCTGTCTCCTGCATACCCCTATGGGGGATTGAACCAGAAACCTAGGCATATGTCCTGACCAGGAATCGAACAAGCCACCTCTCTGTGTACTGGTCAGTGCTCAACCACTGAGCCACACTAGCTGGGCTATTTTTTTCTTCTTTATCTCTTGACAGTTCATGCTTCGCTACCTGTCCTTAAATACTAGAATTACTTGGGGCTTAGTTCTAGATTTACTTTTTTTTTTTTTTAATCTACTCTCTCTCTTTCCATAATCTCATTTATTCCCATGGCTTCTATAGTCACCTGTACACCTTATACCCGTGACTCCCAATCGTGTATCTTCAACCTAACTTCTCCTCTGGAGTTCAGATTCATATATCCAACTACCTCCTAGATATCTGTACTTACATGTTTCACAGACTTCTCAAATACAATATGCCCCTACCTGCACTCTTGTCTTTGCTGCCATCGAAACTCTGCCCCCTATACTCTGAGTCTTGATAAAATGGCACTCCAATTCCTTTATGCCCAACCATTACGAAGTTCCCTAGAATTCCACTTCCTAAACATCTCAAAAACATACCACTTTTCTTTGTTTCCAATGCCACTACCTTGGTGCAAGCCATCTTCATTTCTCACTTGGATTACCAAAATGGACTTTTACCTCCCTAGAACCCAGCATCCACACTTACACTCATCAAATCTTTTCCCCATTAATGTAGCCAGAAGATCTCTTCCAAGGCAAATCTGACATGCCATTCCACAGTTAGACTTCTGCTGTTCCTCCCCATTGTGCTCAAGTGAAGCCCCGAGATCGTTCATGATTTGGCTCCTGCCTCCCTCATCTGGGTCATCTTACTCTTTCCCTCAACACCCAGCAGGTCTTCTTTAGTCCCTGATACTGCCATGTGCTCTCTCCTCCAGCTTTCCACCCACATTGTCCTCACTGCCTCAGAGCCTGGCACATGTGGCTCAGTGGTTGAGCGTCGACCCATGCACCAAGAGGTCCCCAGTTCAATTCCTGGTCAGGGCACATGCCCAGGTTGTGGGCTCAATCCCCAGTGGGGGGCATGCAGGAGGTGGTCAATCGATGCTCTCTGTCATCAATGTTTCTATCTCTCTCCCCTCCCTCCCTCTCTCTCTCAAATCAATAAAGAAAAATAAATAAATAATTAGAATACGCTCTTGTATTTCCCTGTTCTCCCAGGTAGCACTTCCTTCCATTATAATAGTGTATTTGGCCCTGGCCAACTTGGCTCAGTGGTTGGAGTGTCAGCCCATGGACCAAAGAGTTGTGGGTTCGATTCTGGTCAAGGGTACATACCTCAGTTGTGTGAGGATGTGCGGGAGGCAACCAATCAATGTGTCTCTCTCACATCGATGTTTCGCTCTCTCTCGCTCTCTCTCTTTCCCCCTCTCTCCCTCCCACCCTATCTGAAGATAAATGGGAAAATATCCTCAGGTGGGGATTTAAAAAAAGAGAAAAAAAGTGTATTTGTACTCGTCTTCTGTTTAAGATCTAACTGTCCCTCCAGAATGATAAGCTCCAGGAATATAACACTACAGATCTCAGGCATCAACAAACTTTCTGGAAAGGGACAGTTGTAAATATTTCAGGCTCTGCAAGGCATACAGCCTTTTGCAAGTACCCATGGCTGCTGTGGAAGCCTGAAAGCAGCTATAGAACATATATAAACAAATGAGTACGGCTGTGTTCCGATAAAACTCTGCTTGCAAAAACAGGCAGGGAGCTGGCTTTGGCTTGTGGGACACAGTTTGCCCACCCCGATCTATCTTAATGGCCACTGTTCTCAGAGTTGACAATTTTATAGCACTAACTATGTGCAAGGCATTGTTCTAAGTGATGTTCACGTAATCATTCCTTTAACCGTTTGAATTATCTCAAGAGGCAGATACTATTAGTTCCTCATTTGCAGATGAGACTGAGAGGTCAGGGCAACTTACCTAAGCACACCCAGCCACTAAGTTAAACTTGTACTAGGCAGTCTGGTTCCAGGTCCCATGCTCTTAACCCTCCTTGTTGGTGAATGTATAAACAAAAGAGTAATCAAATGAGACTGGGGTATGAAAGTCTTCAAAAAGTATAAAATACTACAGAGGTTTAAAAGTTGGAACAGAGCTTAACAAGCCAGAATACTAAGTGTAACTCCCTTGACCCTGAGTCCTCACCCCCAGGTCTGTGTGTCCGAGGCATGGCCAGTAAGAGCATGCTCCCCTTGCTCATTTTCCTTCGGCATGGGCTCTTCTCAAAGGCAGTATCAGAAATGGGCAACCCAGGAAGTCATCTGGAATTCCCACCCTCCAGTGGCACTTTTTGCTTAATTGTCTCTGCCTTTACTCAGTTTCTGAGCTTCTCCCTTATAAGTTGAAAGGCAGAAGAGTAAACAAGTTAAGATACTGGGCTTTTGAGTCTTAGAGAACACACTCAAATCCAGCTTCTTCAGCCTCAGTGTTTAGATCTGTAAAATGGGGATAGGAGCAATACCAATCGTTTAAGATAGCTGTGACAATTCAGTGAGATTAAGAGTGTCCTAAACAGTTTATAAATACCAGTGGTTGTTATTCTAGTTATCCTGGTACTCAGGACACAGGAAGGCAAGGTGGGCAATCAAAACAACCCAGGATTTAGGGTCAGATGAAGCTGAATCTCGTGTCTGCTCTTTATTAGCTGTGACCTCACATCTACTATTTAATTTGGGGGGGGGGGGTTACATGCCACTTAAATTTCCAGAACATTTGGGAAATTGACATGGGGTTGGCAAGCCTCTCCCCTCACCACACCAATATAAGGACATTGATAATTTTATTAAAAACCTAACACTTATTATCACCATTGCATTATAAATGTAGGAACATTTTAATACATCCCCACCCCAAAAAGAGTAGGAAGATTATAATCTGAGGATAATGAACCCACAACTGTTCTTGTTTCTCTTATTTCACTCATTTCTAGAATTTGGAAAGGGGTAGTCAGTCTAATCCTCACTTTTCTTATCTGCAGAAGGGAGTAATGATCTGTACACATGCGCAGGGCACTGACCTAGCTGATGTGCCTGGAGCAAAGGAGGGGCTGAGGGGCTGTCGACCCCTCCCTGGCCTTTCTCTAGAGCTGGGTTTCCCCTCACTCAATCCCCTTCTCTCCTCTTAGACTCTCCTGGGAGCTGAGAGAGGGAGGGGCCAGAAAGAGCGGCATCTGGTCTCAAAGGACTGTATTGGGGGCGGGGGCGGGGGCGGGGGTGGCAGGGATGTGCACACGTTGTGGCCTAGGTGGGAATGACCAAAAGAGAAGAAAATTCACTCCTTGGGGGAAATGTAGGATGCCTGGGGAAAGGAGTCTGTGTCTATCTGGTCTTCAAAACTCTCCAGCCGGGCAGGGTGTGGGCCCCAGCTGGAGGGCAAGGTCTGAGGAAGAAATTTTACTGTCTCTGGAAACAAAAGAACTTTTGTGTGCTCATGGAATCTGGGTGGGGTGGGGTGGGGAAAGGGGAATGCTTAATGGGAATGAGAATGAGATTCTAGGGGAGAAACAGAGAGCCAGAGAGACAGAGCCAGAGCGGGCAAGTAGAGACCAAAGCAGAGACTGAAAGCGGAAAGGAGCCGAGAGCTCCCTCGGCCACTTGGGTTTCACCTCCCAGTCCTGAGCGCTCAGCGGGATGTCACAACCCGGGCGCCTCCGCTAACAAGCTGTGCCGCTCTCAGTAAGTCACACCCTTCACTGAGCCTCAACGTACCCGCCGTGAAAGGGGGGCCTGGACCCTGTGGTGCCTCCAGGAATGTGCACTAGGAGTGGGGTGTCCACAAGCTAATTTCAATTATTTTTTTCAAAAGCTCAGGCCTAAAAATGTTCCCAACTCAAGGAGACGACCACAGGTCTCCGAAGGCTGCCCAGAGCTGGCTGGCTACCGTTGGATGAATGAAGCTGAGTTTCCGGATAAAGGTTATTTAATAGGTACCTTTTATTGGCTGGTCGAGCACTGTGAGTTTGAGGCCTGAGAGTCCCAGATCTGCTCCTTCCAGGCCTGGCTGTCTGAGAACTGAGTCAGTTAGAAACAGGCCTCTTTTCTGGAGACCAGAGAAAAAGAAGCGACTGAGGAAAGAAGGAAGACAAGGAAGGCGTTATTTTCCGGCACGTGCTAGACATTTAGAAAATGGAATCAGGAAGAAAAATCCAGATTAGTGGAGTCCAATTCATGTCTTAAAAAAAAAAAAAAAAATTCCTCGACTTGATCTCTAAGGGCCCTTAGAGGGTTAGGCCCATCGGAGGCCCGCCAGAGCCCCGGGAAAATTCAGAACCACAGGAGCTGGTTGGATTTGCGCCCAGAGAAGCACATATTGCTCCTGCAGCTGCCTTGGTAACTGGGGGGACAGGCGGAACACGGCCTCCCCATCTTGTACGGTGCCTCGCCGATCCAGTTGCCCCTGGAAGAGAAAAGATTCCAGAGAGATGGGGTCAGGGGACAGAGGAGAGTTCCAGGAGCAACCTTCACACAGGTTTCCAAACCTCAGCGCCGCCATCTCAGTACCGCCACTGCCTGGCCCTGCAACACTGTTTCTTCATCTGTAAAACCCAGAGAAGACATCCCTCCCTCCAGCACAGGGGTGCCGAGGAGATGAAGTAATGCAGCCATGTGTCCACGCACCGAGAGCCAGGCCCGGCAAAGAAGTGACTCCCCAGTAAGTGCTGATGTTCTTATTCTTTCCACCACCCCTCACCTCAACTCAGGCAGATCTACGTGCTGGGCCTGGGCCTGGATTCTGCCACCTGCCAACTGGTGACAGACCAAACCACCTCATTTCTTGAGCCTTTATTTTATCCTCTGCATAAAATAAAGGAAATGGTGTCCATAAAATGGTCTCCCTCTCTATTAGAGCTATTGATTTTATTTTTTACTTTTATTTTTTATCCTCACTCGAGGACATTTTGCCATTTTTTTGTTTAGATAGAGTGGGAGGGAGAGAGAGGGAGAGAGAGAGCGAGAGAGAGAAACATCTATGTGAAAGGGACACATCCAGTGGCTGCCTCCTCCCGCACAGCCCTGACCCAGCCAGGGCTGGGGACAAACTGCAACCGAGGTACGTGCCCTTTGTGGGAACCGAATCTTGGTCTCTCTGGACAGCAGGCCGACGCTCTAACTGCTGAGCCAAACCAGCCAGGGCTCTATTCGAGCTATTTAAAAAGAGGAGACTGTAGAGACTAAAGGCTTATCCAAAGGCCTCACTGTGCACATGGTAGAGCTGGGAATCAAACCCAAGTCTGCTAATGACAAGAAGAATCAACACGTGTTCTGAATTTCTTAGGAGCCTGGAGGTGTTTCCTGCATCAGTTCCCTCAATTCTCTCAATTCTATGAGTAGAATGTGCATCCCTTTTGCAGATGAAGAAACAGTCATAGAGAAGTTAAGTTAAATTACCATTCAAACCCTGACAGTCTTGACCCCAGAGTCTAAAAATCTTAACAACTATATTATTAATACTCAGTGCTGCAAAACTTCAATATATCAGTAAACAAATTGGAACCGTTGTGTAAGCTGCATGTATTGCAATGTGGTCCTTGTATTTTTCCTTGTCTAATAAAGCTAGGCTACAATATGATACGCTGTCATAAGATGTTATCATCTAGCAAATAAACAGCTAGAGAATTTATGTTCAGGCTACCAGTCACTTACAGAATATCAGCATAGTCGAGCAGACCCAGCATGGGACTTGGAATAAAAAGGCCTGTGTTTCAAACTGCTACTCATTGACTTTGTGACTTCTGGTAACCACTCTGATCTGCAATGTATTTATTTTTCTCTTTCTTTTTTTTGTTAATCTTCACCTGAGTCTATTTTTTCCATTGATTTTTTAGAGAGTGGAAGGGAAAGAGGAGGGAGAGAGAGAAACATTGATGTGAGAGAGACACATGGATTGGTTTCCTTCCACACAGGCCCCTCTACCCAGGTACCTACCCCTGACTGGTAATCGAACCTATGACCGACCCTTCAGTGCATGAGCCAATGCTCCAACCACTGAGCCACATGGGCCAGGGCTGATCATTAATTTCTTAATTTGTAAAAAGGGAAAATATTTTCCCAGTATCCCTCCCTTTTTTCCTTCTTTCTTTCTCTTTCATCTCTTCAATGAGATAATAAGGTGAAAGTATTTTGTAAATGATCAAGGGCTACATGAGAGTAAAAGTTGGTTGTCATTATGTAATTTTGTAATTCTGAATATCGTGTTTACTTAGAATTTGTTCTTGTTTCTGTCTCTATAAGAATCTATAATGTTTGCAAGTTTGTATACACCACATTGGATAGAAACTTCCATTTCCCTTTCTCCGTCTGGGAGAGTCCAATTAGCTGAACATGTGCGTCCTGTCCTTCCTTTCCTTCGCACCTGCCTGCCGGCAGGGTGCGCGTGTTCTTGGTGGCTCTATTTCATGTGGAAAGCTCAGAGGGGCTGGCCCTGCCCTTGTAGGAAGAGGCCTGTGGCTGTCCAGTGTTGCCTGTCCGTGGGTGTGCAAGTCTGATTCAATAATCAGATATTCGCAAGCCCACTGGGCTGGCAGATCTAAGCCACATTCTCCACTATTGACTTCATCAGTGCATTTCCTGTCCACCTGCCGTGGTCCTCTGTATCCCAAGCAATTCTGAAACTTGGATAAAGAAAAATAATTATTAACGCACTCTAATGTATGGCGTTGAGGTTACTTAGAATGGAAGAAGGCAGGGTGACTTGTGTGTGTTCCTTTCTCTGAATTCTGTCCACCTCCCTACCCCAGAGTCCCCTCTGTCCCAGCACTGCACTTACTTAATAGCGTAGTTGCAGACCAAGTACACTGCCTGATGCCAAGTGCTGCCCCAGACGCTGATGCTGCCACAGGTGTGGATGGCACAGCCCAGCCGGTTGGAGGATGCCCACACCATCTGGGGAAGGACACAGACAAGGGAGGCTGAGAAGGCTTCAGTGGGGCCCAGGTTCTTTGGGCCTGGGAGACTCCTGGACTTGCTTCAGGGGTGTGGGGGGCGTATTGAGTGAGGTCCACCTGTTCCAAGGCGAGGGGGCTTGGAGCATGTTGTACTATACTGTTTCCCAAACTTTTTTTACTACAACCAACAGTAAGAAATACATTTTATATTGTTACCCTGTGCACAAACACACACACACACACACACACAATTGGAACAAAAATTTTATGAACCCATATTTGGTCTTCCCGTGTGTGAAATATGCTAATATTTTCTGTACTGTTCTATTAGTTTTATTTCTTTATTTTCTTCCTAGTGACCACTGTTTGAAAATCGTTGTTGTGCTAGAGGTTAAAATACAGCCTTTGGAATTAAACAGCCTTGGATCAGAATCTCACTATCACCAGCAGAGTGACTTTGACCAAATCACTTAACCACTCTGCTTCCGTCTCTAAAACGGGGGTAATACTATCTCATGGGGTGTCAGGAAGGATATTTGGTTTAGGCCTTACATTTCCTAGAGGGTCTCAAATTTAGAATTTCGACATTAACTCCAATGAGTCACAGAGAGACCAGGAGGAACGCAAGAAGATATTTCTCACGCAGTTGGAAGTTTCTTGCAATATGAGATTGCATTGTCTTCTGATGTGGGAGCCTTAGAACACAGAAAATACTCGAAAACTTTTGGACCTGCTGAAGTGAAAAGCACTCCTGAACTTGTCAGATCACACATCTCCATTCTGGGGTCTGGCGATCTGGTCAGCCCACCACGGCCCTCGAAACCAGATCCAGGTCACCAGGTCATCTCACTCACTTTCCAGGGACATGCTTACGATGGAAGAGGAGGTGACAGGGGCTCGGTTTTACTTGCAGTTTTCTTCTAAGGGACCAGGTTTGTTCCCCCATCAGTCCTTTCCCGACAGGGTACCTGGGTGTAGTGGGAGCACACCGGGCCATTGCAGCGCCAGGGGCAGTGCGGGTGACAGTCCGCTGGGGCTGGAAACAAGTAATGCCGCCTCTCTTCAGACCAAGACTTCATCAGATCCACCACCGAGCGGTACCTGGGGAGGCAGAGAAGATGGGAGACGCTGGGTGGGGGGAAGAAAAAGTCGCTGTGCCACCAACCTGCTCGGTGACCTTGTTGAATGACTGACTGAAGGAAGGGCAGAGGGTCACTCACCGGCCAGAGTGGATGGAGAGGTTCTGGCCCACGTATCTCATCAGCTGTGAGGGCCCATGGGCCCAGATGCACTGGGTGACCCAGGCCTCAGCAGACCTGGCCAGCTGCTCGTCCCAGATCTGGGGGAAGAAAGGCCATGCAGGTCCCCAGGGAACAACCACCGTCGTCACGAGTGTCCAGGCATGCACATTGTCCTGGTGCCATGAATCCCCCATGCCTTGGAACCCTCCAGTCATCCACTTGACAGATTAGAAAGCTGAGCTCGGAGAAGGCCTATGACTTCAAGGTCAACAGCAAGTCCACGTAGGAGCCCACATGCACAGCCAGGTCTCTGACTCCTGGTCTGGTGACCTAATCCCCTGACTGGACTTCAAGACTGGAGCTCTCTGTTGTGAGCAGGGTCCCAGGGTAACGGATTTTTTATTTCATTTATTGTATTTTTAAAATGTATTTCTTTGTATTTGGAAATTACTTAATTCAAAAGATTTTTTGAATAATGAAAACATGCACAAGTTTAATCTGTAAGATGTCCAAAGGAAGAAAAATGAAGTCTCTCATCTCCAGCCTCCTAATCCCTCCAGCCACTGTGCCCCCTGGAGGCAACCACCACTGTGAGTTTCCTGTGTCTTCCAGAGATATTCTAGACCTGGCCAAGCAAATATAATATGGTTACATATATAATTTATACATAACAACTATACAAGATACACACACACAAGTATATATATTTAGATGGACAGACAGACAAATGGCAGCATGCTAGACATTCTATTCAGTACCTCGCTCTTTTCACTTAACAAGATAGGTTATCCTGGTGCTTATTCCACATCCACACATAGAGAATACCCTTCTCATCTTTTATAACAGCTTCATCACTGTGCAATGTATGAATGCTCCAAGTTTTATAACCTGAAAAGTCATCACTTAAAAAAAATACTAGCCCTGGCCAGCTTGGCTCAGCGGTTAGAGCGCCGGCCTGCGGACCGGAGAGTCCCGGGTTCGGTTCCCGCTAAGGGCATGTACCTCAGTTGCAGTTTGTCCCCAGCCCTGATTGGGGTCGTGTGGGTGGCAACCAGTTGATGTGTCTCTCTCACGTTGATGTTTTTCTCTCTCTCTCTTCCCTCCCGCTCTATCTGAAGATAAATGCAAAAAATGTCCTTGGGTGAGGATAAAAAAAAAAATACTAGTTCCTTTCCAGCTCTAACTTCCTGGGATTCTCGGAGGTATCACTGTTCACTCGGCAGATACTGAACAGTATTTCTAGGTGCCGAGGACTCACAGTCGAACAAGGAAATGAGAAGTGAAGCAATCATTACAGTCCTGGGGGCTGAGAATGTGCACCGGCTGGAACTTCTTGGGGCTGTGGGAGAGAAAGGGCTCCCTGAGCACGGATATCAGCCTGTGGGCAGAAGCCAGCTAGTGAAGAAGAAATGGGGGCACCAAAAGAGGGCTGCAAACATCTCCCCAGGGTTGTGCAACTCATAGTCTTTCAGGAAAGCAGAAAACTGTTTTCTTCATTCTACCAAGAAGCAAACAGGGAAGGGGCATGCCAACATCAAGCCCACTCGCTGGCCCTCTCCGAGTGAGACCGTTCTCTGTGATACACTGCATGGCATGACGAAACGCCTGTTGAAGTGAGTGCCTTGCACACACAACTGGTGCTCAATAAATGCGTCATTTGTTTGAAAATGGAGGGCCTTCTAAGTGTCAGTTGCTGTGTTAATAAATGAATGAGTGAGTCAATGAACAAATAAATGTTCTCCCACTTCTAGCTGCCTGCCATACCTGCTTCTCTCCCCACCCCTCTCCACACCTCATCACCACCTGACCTTATATTCTATTTCTATTTTGTTGATGTTTGTTTTCTATCATCCTCATTAAAATGTAAGTTCCATGAGGGAAGGGCATTTGTCCACCCTGTTCTGGGTAGAGTCCATGAGGCTTAGCGTGATGCCTGGCTCCAAACAGGCACTGGTAAGTAAGTGAATAGACTTGTTGAAAAAGAATTTGCAGGCGGCTGTGGAGCAAGTCTTGGAGGGGATAGGACTGGCGATCTCTTTCTCTAAAGAAAGCTGTGGGTCGGCTGGAAGGCTATGTCTCCAGGCTGATCTGGGACAATGGTCCCAGAGGAGGGGCTGTGATAAAGAGAAGGGTTCCCTCCTTCACTCGGAGGCTGGGGTAACAGCCACCAGCCCTGTCTCTGAGGGCAGACGTCCCCGCTTCCTCCCACAGTCAGCTGCTGGTTTTCCTCAGCTGGAGACCCTCAGGTACCTGTCCCCACAACTCCAAACTACCTCCACAGGTATGTCTGTCACATCCCTGGGGCAAAGAGACAATAGCATGGAGAGCTCCAGCCACCCACCCCTGCAGGTCCCCAGTGGGGAGCAGCATTCTTGGGCAAGGTATTGTGTTGGTTAAGACAAGAGCTTTTAGCAGCAGGCAGACCTGGATTGGAATCCCAACGGGGTGGCCTTGGGCAAATTAACTCTTTTCATCTCAGTTTCCTTATTTGGAAAATGAACATGACAGTTCCCACCTTGAAGGAAGTGTCCTCGGGGTCAGGTGAAGTGCCCGGCACAGGGCAGGTGCTCCACACAGCAGTCCTCCGCCCCTGACTCCTCGTCTTTAAGATGGGCAGACTAAACCCTGCCCTTTCCACAAGGTCCCGGCACCCAGATATTGGCTTGTGGGGCCAGGCTGGTGAATGGCCCAGCCCTTCCAGAACAGGTGGAGACAAGTGGTTTGCTGGAGGGGACTGGGGAGGGCACGGGGACTCACCATATACTCCATGTTGGCAGCTGGTGGGTGCACGCTGGCCCTGATGTGGTTGTGATAATCCAACAAGGCACTCATGTCCCGGGCAGAGATGTGGCGCTTCCGCCGGCAGTGGGGCACCCCCAGGCCACTCAGGGGTCGCCCAGCTGTGCCCTCGGTCCAAGCCAGCACTAGGGTGGCATTGGGCATCAAGGCGCTCACTGTCTGGTCTGCCCAGAGGAGCAGGACTGCCAGGCCCACAGTGCCAGGTAGCAGAGGCATAGCTGGCTGAAGGGGTCACACGTCTGCCTTGTGCAGTCAGAGCTGGCTGCCTGGAGGGGGCGGGTATAAGGGCACCAAACCCTGAGTGTTCTCCAGCATTGCCACCCCAGAGGATGATAATCCTGGGAACTTGGCAAAGGCCTCCTGACTCAGCTCTGGTCCAGGTGCCCAATGTCCCATCTTTCCCACCCCAGGGGACTGAGTAGATTGGGCAACAGGAAGAAATGCCCAGACAGTAACTAATCTGGACCAGGACTGGGGTGAGATGATGCTACCACTTCAAAGCCAGGCTCCATCCACCAGCCCAGAAGGAAGACACCAGTCCTCCCCATCCCGCCCTCTTCACCCTCCTGCTTACAGTGGCTCCTTCAGTGCCCTCAGAGGGCAGGGCCAACCTTCCTCAGGGCTCAGGGAGGGAGCTCTTGTCCCCGAGCTGCTGCACTTTCAGAAATGACAGCAAGACACAGAAAAAAAAACCAGATGTGGAGAATGCAAGAGTGCAAGAGGCAGAGAGAAAGGAAAACAAGAAACAGAAAAAAATTGAGTGAGATCAAAAAAGCAGTAGAGAAAAGGAATGAAAGACATGAAAAGGTGGGAAGATATGAGAGAGAATGAGAGATGGTGATAGGAGGGGAAAAAAAGAGCATGGAGGGACAGAAAGAGAGGTAGAGAGAGAGACAAAGGAAGAAAAGAACAGAGAGAAGGAGAAATAGACCTAAAGAACCAGAGAGAGGCTTGCTGGAGACCAGGCAGCAGGCTCCCTAGGAGCGCGTACCCAGGACAGGCAGCCCAGGTGGGCGGCAGTAGGTGGCCGAGGAGGAAGCAGGGAACCTCTGCAGACACCCTGGCCCGCCTGGCAGCACAGCGACTTTAACAGTCCCCTGGGAGCTGATGGCATCTGACATGCCTGCCCCACAGCCCCCTCCCCTTCCAGCCAGGCCAGACTTGAGGAGGCTCCACCCACTGGCCATTTGCGGGCTTTCCTCTCGCGCCCTCTCCAGCCGCTGCTGTTCCCACTTCCATCTGGAGCGTGCAGGGCTGGGGCTAGGCTGCCGGTCAGGGCGGGGATGTGGCAAAGGCAGGGATTCCAGGAGGAAATATCAACCCCACGTGAGTGATCCAGAGGCTTCTCTCTGCCTTCTCGACCCCAGCATACTAAAGCCACCTTGCATCCAGTGCATTTTCTTTCTTTCTGTTTCCCCCAGAGTCTCTATGCCTTTAGTGGAAGTGATTATATCCATAACCGGGAAGCCAATATATGGGCAGGTATTCTTTTGCTAAAGACATCAAACAATTGCATAATTTGATGTCTACTTTGAGTAGAATAGTATTGCTTTTATTAATGAAGAGTGAGTTCCTACGCAAAACTCTTTGTCAGAAACCTGGTTAAAATAGGAAGCAGAGCCCTGGCCGGTTTGGCTCAGCGGTTAGAGCGTCGGCCTGCGGTTCTGAGAGACCCGGGTTCGGTTCCCGCTAAGGGCGCATACCTCGGTTGCAGTTTGTCCCCGGCCCTGGTTGGTCGTGCGGGTGGCAGCCACTCGATGTGTTCCTTTCACATCGATGTTTCTCTCGCTCTCTGTTCCTCTCTCTCCCTCCCACTCTACCTGAACAAAAAATGGAAAAATGTCCTCGGGTGAGGATAAAAAAAAAAATAGGAAGCAGATAATTCCCCTAAGTAGAGAAGAAAAGGCTTAATAAATAAATGCCTGGTTGAGATAGCATTATAATAAAAATATAGTGAGCAAACATAAATGATGGATCTCAGATCTTTCCCAGCTTTTGCTGAAGTAGGATGAGGACGACTGAGTGCTGAGGATACTGAATCCAACTCCCAGAGGTAGTCACCACCGCGGAGACAGGGCCGCCTGGAGATTGAGGCCATTGATTTCTTCAAAATGGCACAGACTCAAGCCCAGCATTGCACAATTCACATAGAACTGAAGTTTATTCTTTCTTTCCCCTTTATTTTATTATTTTTTCCCCGTCACCATTTATCTCCCATTTGCCCTCTTCCACCTCCTCCCAGCCAAGCACATTTTCTGACCGTTTTCCCTACACAGCCCTCCGGCCTCGAGCGGGCTGTTAGCATGGCCCATCTCAAGGGCACCTACTGTGCACCAGGCCTGGGCTGAGTGCTTCATACATGCAAGCTTAGCCAACTCGGAAGCACATACTATAGCTCTCCATTTTACAGAGGGAGAAACCGCGTCCCACTGAGGTAAAGGAACTAAAGTCAAGCCAGCCTTCCTGCAACAGAGCAAGGATCCAAGTCTGACCGCAGGGTCCTGTGAGTATGTAAAAACAGTGCCATTTTTGTAACCAAACCAATACAGATGCATAGGGAAAAAGCCTAGGAGAATATTCACTGTGATGCTGCTCATAGCACTGTGTGGCTTCATTACTTAAGCCCATGGATCTGTATTCAAATCCCCGTTATTTCACTCCCTAATGGGTGTCGTTGGGCAAGCTACTCAACCACTTGGTGCCTCAACTGTCACAATGGGACCTACCTAGAGCACTGATGCAAGGACTAGACAGTTAACATTTGTGGAGCACTTGGACAGTTCCTGGCACATTGTGTGTGAGTGGTGGGGGATGGTGGTGTCAAAGTCCCTTTGTGGTTGTCCTTCTGGGTTAAGAAAGTTTAATTTTCTCCTCTCTGGTTAATTGTACTCTCCACAAATCACAAGCAATGCATTTGTTATGAGACGGGGTAGACTTACAAGAAAGATGTTACATAAAAAAGCAAAGTTGAAGCATTTGGAAGCCTTCAGCCTCCTCCTCCAGCGCCCTCTGAGAATCCTCAGGTAGAACCAGGTAGTGATGCAGGGCTGGAAGGTGGGACTGGGCTACCCAAGCGGGGTCCTCCCCAGACACATGGAATTCTCACCCAGGGCAGCCACCAGCTTCAGCCTCCAAGGCCCAGACAGTGCCTGCTGCCAAAGCACACACCTACCTTCGGAGCAGCTTCCCCCAGCCTGGGCTGGACCCTGGGGGAGAGGGGCAGGCAGCGCAGTGAGGGGTGGGAGCTGCCGACACTGACCTCTGCAGGGCTTTCCCACCATCCCAGAAGGACAAGAGACACTGGCTCTAATCTGGCCCCATCTCTGCCTCCAGTATGCTGGGTGTCCCAGGGCAAGTCCCCATCCTTCTCTGGGCCTCAGATGGCCCACTGGGGAAACTGGACTAGGGCTCTTCTGCCTACACGGGTTGGGATCTGCGGTGCAGCAGGGGAGCTCTGCAGCCCGGGGACGAGGACACGGCCTTGGCACTTGGGAGCCTAGGAGTGTCAACAGTTATGCCCCACTCTCTCAGAATGCTTAACATGAACTTCTGTGCAACTGGCCTGTGTTGGTTCAGAGTGTCACATCCATCTCTCACAGCGAACTTTGAGGTAGTAACGCCACCCATTGTGCAGATGAGAATACTGAGGCACACAGAGCCTCAGTGACTTGTCATCGGGCCCGGAGCTTGTCTGTGTGTTACCTGGGGTTCTGACAGTGAATGTCCTCACACATTTACAAAACGCACATGTATTCAACTGCGCACACACCAGGTACATGCACACACTTCACATAAGCACATCCTCCTCCCAGAAATCACAGACAGCTTGTTCCCCCAGCCCCCCAGTTCCTTTCTCCTGTGCCACAGAAACCCACCCTTTACACATTTAATCATATATGACACACATAAGCTGTATGTATTGCCCCCCCTCGGTGCCCAGCACTGTTTTAATCACTTTACAGTATGTGGGTAAGTTCACTCAGTCTTCAGAACAGCCCTATCCAGTTGGTGCTATTGTCATCATATCCATTTTTATATACACGAGGAAACTGAGGCACAAAGAGTCATTTGTCTAGGGTCACACATTCAGTAGGTGGCAGAGGTGGTCTCTCCATAGAGACAGACAGACGTACTTGGGGGAAAGTATGACCCCACAGTTCCGCCATGCATGCAAAATCACCACCTCCTGTGCTGCCTGTTCACATTCACAGAAACCCAAAAAGTGCACTGGTGGCAAACACAGAGGGACACCCGTGGCTGCTCCACCATGTGGAACCTTCTCTGGTGTCCTCATTGACTAAGACAGGTTTCCAGTGGATAAAAGTGTTAGGAGGTGGGGGCAGGAAACAATCAGGGGCAACCCGGAAGAATGCCTTGTCTGGGATCTCACTTTAACGTAAGAACGCTTTCTCATCCTTGGGGTCTTAGCCCCTGGATTCAGCTATTGCTCCATCCTCGCCCCTCCTAGAATTCTCTCCAGTTTGGGTGACTGGAGAGGAAATTATTGTAGATAGTAGTAGTATTCAAGGCCGTATACCTTGCTGGCTAACAGAGAGCCTAAGTCTATGACCCACCTCTAAGGCTTACTAGCTATGTAACTGTGGGCAAGTTACTTACTTAAACTTTCTGTGCCTCAGTTTACTCATCTATAAAATGGGGCTGCCTCATGACATTGTTGTGAGAATTAAACAAGTTAGTCCATCTGAAGACACTTGACCCAATGCCTGGCACAGAGAAAGCAGCCAATAAATGTTACCTATAATAATAGCTAATAATAATAACAATAGTGGTCAACATTTATTTCAAACATACTAGATGCCAGGCACTAAATGTTTTAGAGGCATGATCTCATTTAAGTTCCAGTTTCACAGGTTAGGTATCAAGATCCCCATTCTACAGATGAGGAAGTGGAAACTCATAGAAATTAACTAATTCACCCAAGTTCACACAGCTAGTCCCAGTGGCAACTGGATTCCAATGCTAAGTCTCTCTGATCCTTACCCTGTAACTGTTGCTTCTGAGAAGGGAGCAAGGAGCTTGGCACAGGAGCTTGGTGCTTGAGAGAGGAGACTGAGAAAGCTAGAAGGCCCCTAGGGAATCTTCTAGGTCACCTCTTCATTTGCCAGTTGAGGTTCAGAGAAGTTAAGTGACTTGTCTAAGGTCACACAGCAATTAGACCCAGGACTGCAACCCAGATCTACTTCATTCCAAATCCAAGTGGAGAAGGGAGGGAAGTCGAGAGAGGTGAATGCAAGGGAAAACAAAAACAGAAACAAAAGTGGTGAGCTAGACTCTTCAAAACTCGCCAGGTCAAATGCTCCAGGTTTTTCCAGGAGATAAACTGTAAGAAAACAGAAGGGATAGAGGAAGAGTCAGTAAACACTTAAAAAATACACATTTTTTCAATGGTCTAGACTAAACACTACTGTTTAGGAATGTGTACTTAGACAATAAAACTATGAAGAAACAGAAAGAAATACTATAAAAGTCCGACTATGATTGGGGTGGGACATTTGAGAGGCTTCTATTTCTTGATCTGACTGGTGGTTACAAGTGGTTCACCTTATTAGGCTCCATGTTTTTATGTGACTTTCTGTATTTGTGTTTTATTTTACTATAAAAAGAATTTAAAAAAATA